ATTTGTTCACGAATGTGAATGTGGCGCACCGGATCAATCCTGCTCCGGCAACGGGAAATATTTTTTCAGGTGGATAACCAACCAAATTTGGTTAGGAAAGAACAAAAAAATGAGTGTAGAGAAAAAGGAATACCTTTGACATGGAGAATGTGGATGAGGAAAAAGGTCCTTAAGAAAATGGTGCACAAGGAGGAAGCCATGAATGAATTTGCTTTGTTTATGCAATACTTATTGAGTAAAATTTTTGAAGATAAATCATTTACAAATTGAAATAATTTAATGAAGATCTTGCAGAAGAAGAAAAAAAAAAAAAACAATAATTGGGCAGCAGAGTATAAGAGGAGATAAAAGAAGTGATGAGTGGGACTGTGGAAGTGCAAAGGGAATCTTTATTATATCTTTTGCTATTGTTCTCCTCCTATTTTACATATCATTACACACCATACAAATATTTATACTCAGCCTAGTTGTTATCAAACTTGTGGACCAACCAGAAAAGGACACGTGTCCCGGTCAACTAATATTTAAATTCCATGATACATAATGAGGTTGGTAATCAACCTCTTTTAGCCAATCGAGTCGATAAAGCTCAAAAAAATATTATTTTTATGTAAATTTCTATATTTCAACTCGTTAAAGCTCGATTCCGACTCGTTAAGGCCCGAGCTCGCCTTGTTAATATTGATAAACGAGTCGAGCTTGATTATGAACCCGTTAAGTTAACCAGTCAAGCCAAGTTCAGTTCGTTGAGGGTTCGAGCAGCATGAGCTCAAGCTCGGCTCGACTCATTTACACAAGACCACTTACACTATAAAATTTCATACTTTTTTCTATATTGTATTTTAAAGTACAACATTTGAACATAAAAGTGTTCGTGTTTTCTTGAAAGAGTATGAATACCTAACCATCAGGTAACCTAACCATTTTATTAATGTTGGTTTTATACCCTTCTTATTCAACATACATATAATCGGCTGTGAATTTCACCTTACCCTTGTGGGCAATGACTCTAAAGTAGTTTTTAATAATCGTCAAAACACAGTAGGGCAGTCCCCACGGATCAAATTAACCCATAATGGGCCTCTTAAAATATCTTATCTTACAACAACATTTTTCATCCTCTAAAAATCCAACTATCACTTACACATGTTTAAGTTGTCCAACCACAGGCTCTTTTGATGGGGCAGAATTGAAGAGGCTTTATGGAGATTCAAGGCCATTTAATATACGGGCTGATGTGTAATGCGTGGGCTTATTGGGTCTTTTCTCTTATTGGACTATAAGAAACTGGGGAAAGCGGTGCCGTCCCAGGAAAAGCCCATATGAGGGAAAGTGGGTGCGTTTTCACTAACACGAAGCGCACAATGAGCAGGAAAGCTCATATGAAGCCAAATAGGGTTTCATCTTAAAACCAATTGGTGGAATAATGAGGTGGGTCTATTTTTCATTTATGAACGATGTGTGACAACTCACAAGTGATATTCTAACACGCTCCCCTCACTTATGAGTTCTTCGAAAGCCCAATCTCAACTGGGTTTCACTTGTGAGTCCTTCGGAAGCCCAATCTCAACTGGGTTGGGTGACGAGTACATCATCG